TGGCCTTCTCGGTCCGGCTGATCTCTGCTTCCGATGGTTCAAACACAGTCACCTTGGGTGGGAACACCTCCTTCAGGTCCTCTGGAAGGGAAGAGGGATTGGGAGCAGGGCTGGTCTGAGAGCTGTCTGGGTTTGGTAGGGGCTCTGCATGTGTGTGTGAGAGAAAGGAAGGGCGAGAAGGGGGTCATGATGAAGCAAAATTATGTAGTAGTAGGTCCTATTTGCTTGGGAGTCACTGTTCCATTCTCTGTTGTTTTCTCCCTCCACTTTGCCACTTCTTTCTCAGTTACTCTACGGATACACACTGCCTACTATCTCCTCCACCTCCCTAAGGTGGCATTTTGTCCTGATGTTTTTGGCTTTCTTTGCGAAGTCTCAAATTCAGGGCCTTGTTCAATTATCTATCAGAAGAAGATGACTGCCTATATTTCTTTCTTGTTCAAAGCCCTCTTTGGTGCATGATGTAATCTTTTAGACTTAGAAGCGGTTATAGTAGAGTTGAATGAACCTGAACTTTGAGGCAGAAGATTCTCACTAGCAACATGATCTTAGGAAGTAAATTGACTTTTTCTAATTATCATTTCCCTTGTTTTTTGCAAGGTGTATATGTTTGTCTGTTTGGGTGATAGCACATATTAGAATTAGCCTTTCTTGCCTAGAAGAGACACTTTTCCCATTGCATCTGACTATATTTTTTTCTATCTACAATACCCAGCTAAACATTTTTTTTTTTTTACATGTAACCTGCTTTGAGGAGGCAAGGAGCCCCTGCTATTATCTTATCTGATGTTCCATATTCACTCCTACTCTGAGGCACACGGGGTATGTGGTAGCTTGCCCAGAATGGCTGTAATCCCATGAAAAATACTGCTCATGGGCTGAGCCCTTTCTTCTTTCCAGTGCCCGGCAAGCCTCCTGCCAGCTTTGGAGTCCTGGTTCACAGTCATGCTTTGCATTTCTAAAAGCAGTAAAACTTGGTTGCTGGGTATGAAAAATCCCAAGTCTGAGGGCCATTTTATCTGGGGGTTCATCTTGTAAAGTCCTGGGCCATTTTACAAGCCTGATAGATGGGAGAGAATTTCTGGAATTGTTGGAAGGCATGACCTCATCTGAAGACATGGAGGGATGGAAGAAACCACATCCATCTCTGAAGTACCCTCCTGCTTGCCCGAATGTACTTGCCCTCTATTTGGTTCTGTTTTGACCACGGGAGTGAGTTTTTGGAGGAGAAACATGGCAAACTCTGATGTCTCCACTTTATCCAAATTTGGGGGAATATCTCTGATGGGAAAATTGAGACACAGGTTTGGAAAAAGGCAAACTCTGTGACACAGTGATGATAAACAATAGGAATGAAAAGGATGGTCACTAAAGGTGACTCCTTTCCAAAGGATTCTCACATAAGTTGGTCCCTTACAATTTAAGGACCCGACGAGGCTGGCATTATCATCTGCATTTTCTGCATCTCAGAGACCCTGAGACAGTTTAAGCCACATTCCAATTGCATGAGTCCCTCTTCCCTTGAACCCAGGCATTGTGAATCCCAGTGATTCCTACTTTCCAATTTCCATTACACTCCCTGGCATGTGCCCCCATCTGCAGGACAGAGCCTGCTCAACCAATCTGGTAGGACCTATGTGTTCCGTTCCTCCAGCCTCATCTATATCTCCAGCCCAGACCCTCCCATGGCTCCCACCTGTCTGCATCCCCCCAAGCACAGTAATGGTGTTTCATGATGGCCCTGTACCCTACTATCCCAGCATAGATCCTGAGGTTTGAGAAAATGGGGCCTTCTATCTATTTCTCTTCTTTATACCTCGTCTGTTGCTAAGACGGTGTGTTTCCAGTTGTAATGGTTTATTCAGACTTATCTCCTCTGACTCCCACCAAGCACAGTGTCCCCCAGAGACCTCCCTGCAGCACCCGCGATGCCATGACATGGACTTCTGTCCTCAGGGCTCCAGAGCACCCCTCAAATCACCCCAGTCTCACCAACCTGGTCCCCTGCTGCCTCCCGAGCCCTTAAACCTCCTCAGGAGGACACACGTGGGTCTTGGAGACTAGTCGAGACAGAGAGAGGGAGGACGCTGAAGGCAGGGGCAGAGTTCCGAGCTGGAGGTAGACGTCGGGAAGGATGCTAACAGAGAAGACAGAGGTCTTCACCAAAACAGGGTCAACAACGCAGGAATGGAGTCAGGATGGGAAGGGAAAAAGGGAGAAGATCAGATAAGAAAGGGAAGTGAAATGACACACCTGCTGAAAAAAGTAGAGCTGAGAGAAGGGGTCCTGGAGAACAATGAAGAGAAGATCAAGCAAACACAAAGCCTGAGGACCAACCGTGGAGCCTGGCAGCTGAGGAGCTGCCACAAAGGGAGCAGAGCGAGCTGGAGAAGCTCCGGGAGGGTGAGAGAGGCCGCCGGAGCTCCAGGAGGGAAGGGTGGCTCTGCCCCCGGCCTTACACCCCACTCCCCTCCCCAGGACTGATCTTTGTGGTCATCACAGGCGCCCCCCCGTCAGGAGTGGGGCCCCGATACCTGTCACGGTGAGCCTGGTGCCAGGCCCAAAGATGAGCGGCGAATTATAGGAACACAGCTGAAGACGGCTGTGGTAAAACCCGCAGGAGGCCTCCAGCCAGAGTGCAAGTCCTAGCTCCCTGGGAGCAGGGGTGGCCGCCCCTCGCTACCTGGATTCAGGGCTCTAGACCAAAGGGATCCTTAAGGAGAAAAGCTTAAGCGTTCTACCGGGAAAAAGGGAGTGCACGAGGCTTAGGAGGGCAGATCACACATGTAAGAAGGAAGTGTGGACTGAGGAAAGAGTGAGGAGGCAGATTATGGCCTGAAGACTTAGAGAAATCAACCCAAAGTGATGGCAGACACAGCTCCTTAGAAGCCCCACAAGAATGAGAGAGTTAACTCAACCCCCTTCCACCAGGGCTAGGAAGGGAGAAAAGACTCTGCATCCAAGGGACAATGGCCCTACCACCCCGGTCCTGCACCTTACCTAGGACAGAGAGTCGAGTCCCCTCTCCAAAGTGCAGTGGCTCGTTGCTCCACAGTACAACATGAGTGTGGCAAACCCCAGAATCACTGGTGTGGGGCCCTTCCTTCCAGGAGCTTCCACCCAGAACTCTTGGGAGCTCCAGCACCCACTCCGCTCACACACACTGTCTGAGCCTTTTTCCTGCTGTGTTCTCCAGCCCTGCCCTCTCTAAGGAGTCCTTCTGGAACTCCAGCCTTACAAGACACTATCCCTGGGGAAGGCTTTTACTTACCCAAGACAGAGAGCTTGGTTCCATTGCCGAAAAACAGTTTTTCATTAGTTACACAACACTAAAACCCAATAGGAAAACTGCCCCTGGTTCCTCCCATTCCTTCCTTCTGAGTCCACCTGCCAGCTCTCCTCTCCTGTTCCTTAGTAGAATTTTAACCCAGAGAGGCAGAGGAGGGACAACCTTGCAACAGTGCTGCGGTCAGAGGGCCGATTTGGCCCCGTGGGACACTCTTTCCCTTCTCCTGTGTCCGTCTCTTTTCTGCGTAAGGAAGGAAGTGGCAGGACTACGACAGCTCCAAGGCCCCAGGCTCTCCCATCTGTCATGACCATGATGAGGCATCCTCCAAGGAGACAGGAGACAGACAAGGTGACCCATTCCTAGCTGAGACTACTTGCCTTCTGGTAGGGGAACCCAGGCGCAGCACAGCTAGTCCGTGAAATATTGGAGATGGAAGCTGTCCCCTCCTGTCTGCATCAAGACAGGAATTCAGGTCTTTCTGATAAAAACATGCTTCAAGCTAAACACCCAAGACGGAGGTTCCATCTGAATCCCTGCCTCTCCTCGTTGGTTCCCAGCCCTCCAGCCCCAACTGGCTTACCTACAACAGTGAGTCGGCTCCCCTCCCCAAAATCGAGGATATTTCAAAAGCACAGCCTCCCAGATCCACTTCAGAACCTCCCCTTGCTTGCTGAGCACAGGTGGGATTCAGGGAGAGGATGGGCGTTCATGGATCTCTTCCCTCACAAGGCTGCCAGCCCTGCTTCAGAAACTCCCCTCACCCTTCCAGAACTTGCTCGGGGCCCCCGACACAGTGTGGCCTCCTATAAAATCCAGAGCAAGGAAAAATATGAAGCCCTTGCAGAAAGCTTCTGTCAGCGAGGGGAGATGGGCCAATGTCAGGGCTCATTAATGACCTTCCGGGCATTCTCTCGGCTCCCTGTCTCAGGTAACTACTCAGAGGGGCAGCACCACCTCCTGTCCCTTCTCTGCCCCAACCACTCAGCTCAGCTCTGATTTTACAGAGGACCTCGGGTGGCTGAATGAATCTGCCCTGACAGGGACCCTCCTCTGAACTGGTTCCTAGAGGTGGAGACGACGGCTCCTCAACCAGGACCCAGGAGCTGGGTCATCCCTCCCCACCCACGTTTCCCGGGATAGAGTCCTCCCTCATCAAACCACCCCCTGGAGACCCCAGCCTTACCGACGACCGTCAGCTTGGTCCCTGGGCCGAAGTGATAGTCATAGTTAGCACATCAGAATATGCCCCTCCAAAATGGACACTTCGGACCTGCTTTCCCCTACGAGGGGCCTGGAAAGACCTGGAATATGTCTTACCTACAACCGTGAGCCTGGTGCCTTCTCCGAAGAAGACTTCAGTGTTCACACAGTGACATGGGGCAAGGAGGAAAACAAATTTGAGGCGTGGAGAGAGGAGGGGCCCTGGCTGGTGTCTGGAGGACTCTGGAGTAAGAAATCCCCTCCTCTGCTTTATAGAAATTGTGCAGAAAAACATTTTTGACCTTTGACTCTTAGGGGCATAGAGTGTGACCAGAGTCCATCCAGAGGGCTCTATGCCCGCTTCTCAATTCTCTCTGAGGGTCCATCAAAGGGATGTGGGCCTGGAGAGGAGGGCAGGGTACCGGAACCCGTGACTGTGTCCATAGAGAGATGAGATATCTCTGGCTTCTCCTTTATAGAATGGGTCATCTCCATGCACCTTCCCACTGACCTTGTCCCAGGTTCCGTGGGGGTTGGGATGAAGGGGTGTCCCTGAGTCCTTCACCCATGAGGCCACTGAGGCACTCTTCTTACTTCTGGGCTCTCTGCCAGGAAGCTTCAGTTCTGAGCCGGGCCTGTCTTGTCTTGACAGGTGGACCGGGGTGAGGTGGAGGCATTTTGACTCAAACCACGATTGGGCCTGTGACCTGGGAGAAAAGCGGAGGCACTGCGGGCATTGGGACAGGCAGAAAGGTTTTTGTAAAGGTTGCCCGTAAAGTTGAATCACCGTGGCCCTGCTGTCCCCACAATGTTACAGCTTTGTACAAAAACGGCCACTCCCACGGGCCCACCCCTCGGAGCCTGGAAGAAATCACCAGAGCAGCTGCTCCTTTGAGGGCACTGGAGGTCAGAGGCGGTGCCATCACCCGCCATGGTGTGAGGTAGTGGGGTATGTACAGATCAGGCAAGGGGGCTCCCTCCTCACCCCCATGCCCTTTCTGCAGGATGTTCTTAGCTCCACGGAGCTGCATCTTTGCAAAGCTATCTGCTGCAGGGGCTGGTTCCCACCCCCCAACTCCCCGTGTCTGCCCCTCTCCAAGCTGTCATCAGACGGAAGACCCACCCTGCCAAGAAGCAGAAGCCCCCTTTCCACCCTGGGCCTGCCCCTGAGTTTGCGTCACTCAAAGGTCACACCTTCATCCGAGAATGAGATCCCCTAATACCCAGACTCTGTCCATTTGGCCCAACTCTGAACCTCGAGGGTGGTCTGGAGGAGAACACCATGAGCTACACAGAGGAAGGGCTTTTCTAGATATAAACAAAGTGACAGCTGAGAGCGCGGCCGGATTTCTGATGGGCATGGGTGAGGGAAGATCACCTGTGTCCTCATCTCGCTTCACTCCCCATTGTGGACTTCAGACGTGGAATTAGGTAAAGGGTGTCGGGGGAAGTCACGTGGAGAGCTGCATAAATGAAGTCTTAGGAACATTTGAATACAATCGCACAGTCACATAATCACTCTCAAAGTCTTCCTCTCTTTGCCCTGAAGGGTAGACACATTTTAGGTCATTGGCAAGTATTTTAATTTCCCTGCCTGAGATGAACGTGACATTTAACCTCCAGGTGAGTGGCCTAGGTCTCATTTCACTGGCTGGTGCTTCCTTTTATTGCCTTTCAAACTGTGGCTTAAAATCTGGAAGAAAAAGAAAGACAAACTTGACTACATAATGATGATGTACTTACACAGAAAAATATACACAGAATCAAAAGATAAATGACAATATGGGCAAAACATTTGCAATTCTCGCAGTAAGGGCTAATCTCCTGAATATATGATGAACTCCTAGAAATCAGTAAGAAAATAATCCAGCAGCCCAATAAAAACTGCAAAGAACAGATGCTTCAGAGAAAAAGAAATCCAAATGTTGCTTAACCATAGGAAAAAAATCTCTCAGCGATAAATGCAAAGTAAAACTACACTGAAATGCCACTTTTCACCAATTTGATTGACAAAAGCTTGAAAGATGGAAAACCATTCTATTGGCCAGTGTGTGGTGAAATATGCACTTTTATACACTTATTGCTGTTAGGAGTGCAAAATGATACAAGCCTTATCGGGAGCAATTTGGAAACATCTATAAAGATTACAAAAGCATTTACTTTTCACCCAGAAATCCCATCTATGGGAATGTATCTTGTAAATATTCTTAGATACAAATAAAAAATGTGTGTAAAATATTTGCATTATTTGAAATAGCAAAAAGATTGGGAAAAACTCAAGTGCCCATCAGTAAGGCACTGGATAAATAAACTGTGATACATTCACAAAATGGAATATTATTCAACGCTAAAAAATGGAAATGTTTCACGTTGCTATGAAAGCTCTTTAAGATACATTGTTAACTGGAAAAAAGCAGGCTGCAGAATAGTGTTCCTGCAGGCTACCTTTTGTGTAACAAAGGGGAAAATAATTATACTTTTGTTTGCTTGATTCTTCATAAAGAAACACTGGAAAGATACAAAAGAAACTGATCAGAGTGATTACCTATTGAGAAGGAGTGGAGTAGACAGAAACGAAATGGAAGTAAAAGTAACACTTCTCAGTGTCAAGTTTACTGTATTCTTTCAATTTTTGAGCCATACAGCCATATTATTTATCTAGAATAAAACTTAAATTAACAAAATTTTAAAAGAAAAGAAAAAGAACAAAATCTTGCATTAAATAATGTTTTTAAATTTGCTACTCAAAAAAACTACTTTATTTACAAAGTCATTTTTTTCAAAGAAGTTCAGTTTATGTAGGACGCTGTTTTATGGTCCTGAATTTGCTTAATGAGTCTCCAATCACTTAGGAAGTTTGTGAAAAATGCATATTTCTGAGTAATTCCCAGGATCTTTTGAGTTAACACTCTCTAGGATTGGATTTATTAATTTGTATTTAAATAAACAATCGGGCACAGAATTACCCTGGGTATTTCCATTTCTGTGCCAGGCTTGGGACCCACTGCTTGTGCTCTGACTAGGAAAAGGGCAAGAGTCGGCCGTGGAGAACATCAGAGTGCTATCTGGTGGTGCCACAAGCTGGGTGCAATGGTGTGGCGCTTAGAATTTAGGGGGAAAAAAGGGGAAGACAGTCTGTTTAACTCAGGAATAGTGACGGATCCACAACACTCCCCCGTAAGCCTGAATACAATGTCATCGATTGCTTTTAATCAGTTGGAACGTGGAAAGGCCTCTATCTTCCCTTTCCACATCGAGGAACATTTTCATCCACGTAATGACTTATTTTGATCTGCTGCCGTATATTATTCTGTCTTATTTACCCCTTTGGCCTGTCAATAACTTACCCTCTAAGTAGGTTTCCTTTTGACCATCTCGCTGGGGACCTCATCCCGAATGGCCTTACAAAGAACACCACCACCTCGGTCTTGGCGTCGCCGCTGCCTTTAACCCTGATGGAGTCTGTCCAGCTTTGCCGCTCTGCCAGGCTGTCAGTATGCCCACGCGCACGCGCAGCTTTTTTTTTTTCGGTAAGAGTTTAGACCTGTTAGGCAGGTGTTGAGTGGGGTCATTCATCAGTTTGGACAGCAGGGGGCAGCGTTTCCTTATTTTTTTCTTTTTAGACCTAAGTAACTGCAGTCTCAGTGTGGCCACTTGAGGGCGCGAGAAGCACGTGGATAGTGCTCCTGGAGACCGGAGCGAAGCAGTTCTCAACGTGTGCGTTGGGATGTGGGGAGGAGATGTGCAAATAACATGTTACATATGTGTGTCGTTCTTGAAAACTTTCAAGCACGTCAATAGACTCATTTTAACTTCGAATTCGTCTCCTAATTTCGTCAGATGAAACTGAACCCTGAAGAGGCTAAGTGGGTTGCCCAAGTCACGCATGATGAAGAGACAGAGCTGGAACGAGCTCCCAGGCCTCCTTACTTAAGTTCTGGGCCTCCAGGTGGCGCCGCTGCCCCCGAGGCCGCTGAGGCCCCCACCCCTCAGAAAAGCCCACCTCCTAGATCCAGACTGCCTGGGCTCCCACCCAGGCCCCCTCCTTATGTCTGTGAAACCCTGGGCGAGTACTAAACCTCTTTAAACTCCGGTCTCCTTATCTGTAAAATGAGAATAATAATAATAATAACACCTCCCTTATGGAATTCTTGTGAGAACTAAATAAGATAATACACATAAAGGTCTGTCCTGGTGCCTGAATACAGTTAGCAAAAATGTGAGTTACTGTTGTTTTCACCGAGAGTGCGGGCCTGAGGATCTCTCTCCCACCTTGGTCCTCAAGCCTTAGCATGCGTCAGAATGACCTGGACATCTTGTTAAAATGCAAATTTCTGGGCTCCATCTCAGAATTTCTGACTCAGGAGGTGTGGGGTAGGGCCCAAGAATTTGCATTTCTCCTAAATTCCCAGGTGATTCTGGTGCTGCTGGTCCAGGGACCACACTTTGAGAACCATTCTTCTGAAAGTCTCTTTCTCTCTTCAGTAATTTGCTCCGCCTCCTAGCTCATACTTTATTCCTTCAATCACTGGGTGCCTATTATATTCCAGACATTGTCTAACCACTAGATCTACCAGGATGAGTAGGAGATTTCTTCCCTAAGGAGCTTGTGGTGGAATGCCAAGGTGGATGCATCCATATTCACTGAGCAGCATGAGAAGGACTGTGTAGGAGTCAACACGGAACAGAAGGACTCCTCACTCAGACCAGAGGGTCCAAGGGGCCAATGCAGGGGTCGGGGAAGAGAATCGGAGAATCGGGCGTGGGAAGAGTCAGAAAAGACCTTTCTGAAGAGGGTGAAGGGGCAGGTGGGAAGGGGGTCAAACCAGATGGACCAGTAGTGTCCAGAGCTAGAGGCCAGAGGAGCATGGCTTCTTGGAGGAGCACCAGGGCTTCTGAGCACTGGAGCATGGCAGGGAAGGGGAGGAGTAGAGAGACAGCCTGGAAACACAGGCAGGCCAGTGCAGGAAGAACCCTACATCCCTAGGATGAGGGGCTGGGGTTCTATTTTGGAAGCTGTGGGAGGTCAGGAAAGGTATTAATCGAGAATCAAGGTAGCGTGCAGGGCCTCTCTGAGCACATGTTAGAAGACGGACAGGAGACCAGAGCCCTCAGAAAGTGCAGTGAGGTGAGGATGGGCGGGAAAGACCTTGCAGAGCAGAGCTGAGGGGCCAGGAGAGACTGCAGGGTGGGGTGGAGCCAGACAAATGAGGAGTCAAACCCCAGATCTACCATTTGCTGGATGAGGGATGTGAGTAAACTAATAACCTTCTCTGACCCTCTGTTTTCTTGTCTGTACCACTGGAACAATACCCACTCCAGAGGGTAGGGGAACTACCTGTGACAATGCCTGTAAAGCCCTCAGTATGGTGTAAACATATTGGAATCGTTATGTGGGATGAACAAAGCACAGATTTCCCAGGAACATGAGAGATGGAGACCCAGGGAGCTCTCTTATCCCCCTCAGACACATGAGCTGGTTGTTGGGAGATAGGGGCCAGTGGGGCCTTCTGCTGCCAGGACGGGGTACAAGCTGGTTAGTACGAGCACATGACAGAGGGGACTAGAAGAGGCCAAGGTGATTGGCACAGGTGTCTTCCTAGAGGCGTTCGCTCTGGGTCCAGGGGACTGGAGGTAGGGGGCCCTGCACACCATGCCCTGTGTGTGCACACATTAGCACCGCACTCACGACCCCGGAAGTGCCAAGGTCAAGGCACCTCTTTAATGCAGCCTCTCTGAAATGTACTTTCCTCTAGAAAATAGCCCCCCTTGCCCCCTGCTTATTATTTTTTGAGTT